CGCAATGTAAGCGGTGACAGTTCTTCCTGAATGTAACCAGTGACGATGATGTCATCAAAGTAAGCAGCTACTCCTGCTAGCCCAGTTAACATGGAACCCCTTGTTTACTAGAATATGGCTAGTACCGATTTTACATCAAATGCTAAACGGTTAAATTGGAATAATCCGCGGTGTGTGTTACTCCTAAGGATTTCTTTGTGATCATCCACGACTTCTAATTGCAGGTATGCATCGTCGAGATCCAGTTTCGCGAAACGGGTGCCACCATTGAGTTTGGTGTACAAATCATCTGGAGCTGGTAGTGGGTACTGATGTGAGTCTAACACCGAGTTAAGTCCAGTCGAGTAATAGGCACATATACGTACTTGGACATTTGCATTTTTAACGATAATAATAGGAGCTGCCAACGATGAATAACTGACAAGCTGAATAACATTGTTGCAGACGATCTAGCTCTTTATCTAGTGTTGTTAGAGCGCCATATGATACTGGACATTTCGGTCTAGAAAACAGTATAGCATCTGGTTGTAGTTGAAGGCTGGCCTTTAGCCTGGTGCAGCAACCGAAGTCATCCTGGAAAAACTGGGCAAATTTTTCCTTGAGTTCATTTGTGATCTGTGGAGTTGTGGTCAACTGCATACTTTTGCATAGGGGTGAAAGCTGGACATCCAGGAGTCCAAGCTTTTCAATCCACTCAAACTTAGATTGAGGCAGTCGATGATATATCGTGTTGTTGAGAACTGCACATTGTTGTAAAACACATCACAGATTAGTTCTTCAGTCAACAGTAAAGTACTATTGGTTGCATTACGTGCATGATGATTGATAGTTGACAATGCTGGTTTACCGATTAACTCCCAGGTGGAACATGATAAACGTAATGTCTGAAGCTGTGTCACGCTGGAGGCGGACTAGGATATCATTGACGAGAACTGATGAATACTTTCTTCTATATTCGAAATTGACTGATGGTTGCAAACACAATTTGACTGAGAACGTTTTCTGTTTGGTTACCTTTTTGACGTTTGTATGGTTGAACTGTGTACACTCTTCTGCATGGTTGGTTTCCTGACATTTGTGGAACGACAGAAGCCTTCTTTGAGGCCCCATCGTTGACACTGCTGCCACTGATGTTTCTTGAAGGCACAAAGGCGAGCGGAGTGCGTTCGCCACATGACCAACAAGGAGTTGATGGCTTTTTGTTGGACTGGGCAGTTGTTCGTGTCAATGTATAGACGCTACTTGAAGCTGGTGGTCGTAATTCTTGCACCATAGCGGTATCGTGCTTAAGACTGATCAGATGTTGACATTCGGCGGTGAGAGATTTAACAGTGATATCCGGTTGGTGTTCAAGTCTGAAAAGCAGTCGAGTGCGGACGTCCGACTCTTGTGGAGAATGAAGACCAGAAACAAAAATCAAACATTTAAACTGATCTTCGGCGTGTGACTGCAACTCAAACTTTTTGCACTCACGGTTTACAATGCCAGCATGTGACGTAATCATCTGTATCACACTTCGCCAACTTAACAGTTGTACCGGACGTTGAAAATAGAAAGCTGATCGCTGAAAATCTCGCGTAATTATTCTGCTGTGTGCACAAAATCAAGATCTTTGGGTTGCTGACGTGCCATGATGATGATTCGTTGATTAAACCTGTCTTCTTTTAGTGAGTTCCATGGTTTTGTTTGGCTCTGTGTCTTTTTAATGGACCGCAGCTTATACAAAGTTGGCGACATCCGGTTTCGCATTTGCCTGTCGCTGTGGCCAGCGACAGGACGCCTGCGCCTACAGAGGGACCATGGGTGGCTTGCGCTGCACCCCCAGAGCTCCAACCACACACCTCATATCCAGTGTAAACCCGAAAGAATAAGACCGGGAGGCATGTGGATGGGAGCCAGGTTTCATCAACGGAACCGGCCCACACTCCTTCACAGGCAACCACAAGCACGCTGTATTTGGGAATCAAGCGCATACAAAGATATGCATTCCACATCATGCAGCCATCACCCCCTCCAGCTCACTACGTTTCTCCACAGTACTACGGGAGAGACTGTTAAATTTACACCGATTCACCGCGGGAGTACAATACATAGATTTACGAAAATATATGTACAGTTTGGTCCGCATCAATTTGTGATCAGTGCCACACAGCTCCACGCGGTGCACGTGTCATGCGCACTTCACGCAAATCACGCTGACGTACGATGACATAGTCGAGCAGGTGAGCGTGACCACTCCGTGGGTGTGTCCAAGTTGCTATATCACTCGCACTCAGTGCAAACCGAGTGTTCGTGATCATCAGACCGTGACTGGCACACAGTGAGAGCAGCGTGTCACCGTTCTCATTCGCTGAGCCAATGCAATGCGAACCGGTGGCATCTGTCCACACCGATGCATCACGCCCAACGCGCGCGTTGAAATCACCCAGCAGAAATAGTCGGTCGTTCCTCGACACAGACCGTATCACGGAGGATAGCTGAGTGTAGAATTGATCACGCGTGTCATCAGGATAACACATGGTCGGACCGTACGTGCTTATAAAAGTGGCAAACTTACCTCTCCCGAGTCGTAGGCGAACAGACATCAGTCGCGCGCTGATTCCTGTTGGTTCAACCACGAGCTGGTTATGGAGACGATCGGATATTGCAAATCCGACCCCGTGTTCGCGTTTTGCTGAGGTGGCGTTGCCCACCCAGTAGAACGTCTAGCCAGCATCTGCTTCATGCAGCTTACCTTGATCAGTGAGCTGGGTCTCACTGAGCGCTTCAATATCTATGTTGTACCGCGCCCATTCCATTGCGACCAGTGCAGGGCGTCGTTCACAGTCTTCACTCGAGTTCCGGTCCAGTAGTGTGCGCACGTTCCAGCACCCGATGCCGAGTGCTTTGCGCGCAAGCATACGATTGCATTGGTGGGCAGTCACAAGCGAGGTGGTCGTTGTGCTTCATGGTTTTGCTTGAGGAATTCCGCCCGGAGCCTTTGGCTCAATAGGCTGACCCACAAGTCATTGGGTGGTTTGGAGGTTTGCTTGAGAGACTCCACCCGGATCCTTTGACTCAATAACCTTATCCACAAGGTAGTGGGGAGCAGATCCAGCTAGGGATTGTGATTGCAGAGGCAGTTTGGGATCTGCTTGACGGCCGTCACACGCAGGCTTTGAGGTACTGGAACGATTTATATATGTTTTGCGACTGTAGTAGGATACACCTGCGACCACGGCCAGACGCAGGTGGGTTTTGTCGGGTTTGCACCGATTTGCCCAGGGGCTGCCTGGCTTGAGGTCGGCAGTAGCAAACCAATGAGCAACTGGAGGTGTCCTCCCGCTGTCAGAGACAATGCGTGGCGCTCGTGCTCTACGCCAATCGAGCTGTGAGCTTATAACCCTTAGACCTGTTGTCTCCCATGGCTAAGTTTTACGGGAAGAGGGCCATCGACCACTTCCTAACCTCCGAAGAGGATGGACTAGGATACTGACAGGGCGCCGACACCTGACAGGAGAACGACTGGGGTCCTCAGTCAAAGCCTTCGATTAAATGTACACTCAAAATGCAGCGTGTCTAGCACATGGTGAGTTTACTGACTCATGCGGATTGGTGTCCTGGATCTTAGCAGGGAGAAGGGCGAAACCCAACTCCCACCCAGCGGTCGCATCAAGGAGGCGTCCAGGACATGAGCCAATGGCACAACAGTAGCAGCAGCGGGTAGACCATCTGTCAGGATCTTGCCACCACCAGCCTCGGCGCACCATAGACTCCACCGCCAGATATATATATATATATATATATATATATATGCACGTTCAGTGTGAAAGTTGTTGCGCACGTCACATGACCTAGTCAACTGTTCCAACTAGCTTGTCTTGTTATCTGACTGCGCGGGTTCGAGTCTGCGTAGAGGCAGGGCGACCGTCGCGGTGTCCTTAGCCCGCCTGAAATCTTTGGTGATTGCGCGGCAGCGAGGCGTCGATACTGTGTCCCGGCGTACTACTCATGCCCTTTGTCAGTTGCTAGTCCCTGAAACGACTTGATACCTCAGCTGTGCACCATTGGTTCAAGTCCTTTTTCCCGTTAAACTAACGAAACTTTCCGGGGGATCTTACCTTCTGCCAACACCTGCGACACCTGTATCTCCAGGATAGATTTGTTTCGATCTCAAATGCCATGTGTACGTGTTTACGGTGGGAGCCATCCTACTTTTCAAGAGTCATGCGACGTCATCTGTCGAAAAATACCGGACGCCCTCATTTTCTCAGCATAAACTTGTTTTGTGTGCTGGATGTCGGATGGCACTGGGTCTAATTTGCTTCGTAAGTCATAGTCTGCTAAGCTGGCTGTTGTTTGTTTATCTTGCCTTCCAACGTGGTGTAAATGAGTCCCACCTTGTGCTTGACTCCAGACTTCACAGGGCATGGTTCGCAGTCGGCACCATTGACGCGTTTGCTTGTTGGCCTGCTTGTTTAACTTGTGTCCGATGCTGTTATTTGTAAGGTATTGGCTGATTATGGCGCGAGGCAGTGAAATCCTCACGAAAGCTTTCTCACTGATACCGCTTCACATGATAACCAATTGTTTATGACTGTGTTTTGCTATCAGCGTGTAGGCGCCCTGTCCCAGTATCTTTTCTTATGACATATTGGTTGTAAACCAGACCCCCTCCTGTTCTTATTCCTTGTCGTTGTGGTTGTAGTAGTGAAGCACTGGTTTAGTTTACCGATGTACTGATGTTGATGATGATAACTTTGGAATACCATTTAACTGTTGTTTATTAAGATCAATCAGCCGTTAATGCCACTTTTTGGCGCAACCTCCTTCTGGTTAGCCACAAAAGTCAAATATTATCTGTTCTTTCTTGTTGTCTGTTTTCACTACTTGAAAGTCCTGTGCAACTTGTTCATTTTCCATTGGCGTGCTTGGATTGGATATTTCTTAGCTGGACAGCCCTGTGAACGGTTTTGCTGGTTCCCTTTCCCATTGTCCATCCGCAGCGTCTTACTTTCTTTTGCAGCCATTAATTTGCACCTGTTTTTTAAACCTACTTCGAATCAGCTGAGTTAAGAAATAATTCCATTGCCTGAGCCTCCTATGCCATCAAACCAGAGTGAACGCAGTCCAGAGTCTATTTCTACTTTTCGAGCGTTGGGTGTTAATGAATATCTCTGCACACGACTGAATCTTCTTGACTGGATTCATCCAACGCCAGTGCAATGTGCCGCAGTCCAGCCTGCTTTACAGGGTAACCCTTACCTCATTACTTTTTTTTACCCCATCAGGTAAGGATATTGTCGGTGTTGCTGAAACGGGTTCTGGGAAAACAGGAGCGTTCTTACTTCCTGTTATCCAAGTAGGTACACCTTTGTCACACCGGAAAATGTCTTGCCTGGAATACACCCAGCCTATCAACGCTTTTGCTTTTTTTATCTTGGAGCTCTGTTGTTTTACCGGGAAGAAAATACCACTTTTTGTTTAAATATTTGCCAAACTAATCAGCTTTTTCTCCACGGAGCACAGCGAACACATCTAATTGACTCACCAATGTTTTTCCCGACTTGGAGCGTTTGATCTCATTCGTCATCGTCGGCATACGAATACCGCGGAGTCCTACACGGCTGCCTTCTGTTCACACTACACCTCGTTTAATTCTGACGGACGTTTACTCTACTGAACTTGTAATTTTATCGGACTACAAATTGAAGGTGTTTTCGGCTGTTTTCTAACGAGTGTTCAACTCGATTATCTGCACTTGAAATTATCATTTTTCATTCTGTTGTATCCCACGCTTCAGTCGTCTTGTTTGATTCTGGATAGTCCTTTTGTATGTGTGGACTCAATCAGCCGGTTTAATGCACCGCTTCTTCTGGTTGTTGGACGGTTCATCTCCGAGCCCTTTATCGATCGCAACAGAAATCGGTTAGAATAGGTGATGGTCGTCTGAGTAAACCAAACGAAACCACTACGCCATGGTGTTATGCGATGTCCCCTGAAATTAATCGAACTGTTGGTAGCTCTGGAGGCTTGATCACTTGATGTGATGTTCGCTAAGCCGAAATATTCGATTGTAGACGTTTCATCACCATTCTAGGTGATGTCTTCAATACTGGGCGGATAGCAGTTTTGTAGCGGAAGCTGGTGGAATGCAAATCCACAGATGGATATCGTTAGCCGCTACTTCCTTTTCAATAATGACCTAAGGGCTACTACTTTGACCCTGTTCTGATTTGGCACAATAGATGTAGGTCAGCAGTCTGGACTCACGTTGACCGTTCCCCTCATTATCTGGGTGGCGGATTGGTTCCTTCGAACTGCGATTTTTTAATTCTCTCAGTGGTTTGTATACTGTACTGATGTCGGTATACACGTTGATTTAATTCCTGATTGAGAACCATTCTCCGATAAACTCTCTCCCCATTTGCATCTCTGCTTGTATCAGGAGCTACATTTTTTCTAGCCAAAGCTCTGTCTTTCTTCATCCACGTGGGTCGAAATCAGTAAACTTGCATCATGTTTCTCGCATGCTTTTTTTGTGTTCCAGTATCCTTATTGATAGCTTCCTTCTTGCTTGTCGCGCATAGTGTATTTCGAAATCGCCGCAATTTATCTTGTATGCCATATTCCGCCGTTCTCAACAAATATGAAAAAACGCCCGCATTCAAATTGCCCAGCTCGGCGAACACCACGACAACTGAGCAATACTGTCACAGACGTCCTTAGGGTACTTCACTTCCTGACCCCTCTTCACTTCCCCATGTTCTCCTTGCTCTGCTCTTCCTGCCATCTTCATTTTCTGTATATTCGAGTTGTGTCTCTTCTTTAGTGCCCCACTCAGAGTGAACGGTTGTCTCATTTCATTCACATGTGTTAACAAGGGGCGACAAGTAACTGGCGTGTCACCTTGGCCGGTGCGCACCGTTTATCAAACCACAGGATTCGGATGTTCAACTTTGAAGGGAGCATCGGGACAAGGTGTACTCGAATCATGTCTTCGACATTGCTAACTTCAAAATCAATGTGTTTACAAGCAGAAATAGCAAACCAAAAAAGTTACGATGATAGGTTGAGCCTTTCGATCTTTTCCTTGCAATAATTTGCATTAAAACACGTCTACTGTAGGTTGTTGTATCCTGGGGCTACCTTCTAAACCCCGTTTTTGTTCTCTATTTCCCATATGCTTATACACCCAGTCCGGGTATGCGTGTGCTTCCACCTAATTGACTAACACTGCCTGTGTTTCATGTGTCGGTCCATTTTGTTCTCTTCGTACAGCGCTGGATGGATGCTGGCCGGCCACATGGCTTTGGTCTTTTGCTCGCACCTACTCGCGAACTCGCTCATCAACTGGCAAACGAAGCCACCCGTTTGGGCGCATGTGGCGCCGATTCGGAAGATCACCTCCGCGTCGTCCGTTTAGTTGGAGGGGAGGACATGGTGGAACAAGCGCTGCAGCTGGCTTGGCATAAGCACCACTTGCTAGTGGGTGAGCTAATCATCTTTTCTTTGAGACACCGGACTTGGCAGAATCAATATCTATATTCCACATTGGGTTAATGATCAGTTTATTTAAGTTCTTAAGCGTTTCACCTCTTCCTGCAACTTGGTGCCTCCTTTCCAACCAGTCAGTCCTTTTTAGCAGCCTACTTCTTATGGGCTGGCTTTTCCTCTTGTTCCCCAATTGCGTTATGTTTGTCTCAGCGAAGCGGTACACCACAAAAAACGAGATAAACAAACAGCCATGACAAATCAGTAGTTGTGTCTCGGAGTATAAAAGTCTCGGATTGTCCGCTATGTCGCATATCAAAAAATTATATATTACATTATATATATATATATATATATATATATATATATATATAATATATATATATATATATATATATATATATATAAAGCCAGTGCGCTCGGCTGAGTGCATGTGCAACACGAACAACCCCGATAACTCTGGTCTTCTATGTGGAAGCCCTCATTTGAACACAAAAAGGTATATGTGGGCCACCTACCTTTCAACGGTTTTCGGTTATTTCGCTAACTTTGGGAGTCTAAGGGATGTGTTTGATTTCCGTGCCACCATGCAAAGGCCCGTCGAGTGCCATCATCACTTCGGTTTCACTTGAAATACTTTCTCGGCCATTGACTCCTCATACTTTGCAATATGCGTCAGTTTCCCCTATGTCTTCCTGGTCGGATTTCTACAACATACTTCCGATGGTGTCCCGCAAATCAGCGTTTTCTCTGTTCGGCTAGATAGGTGTTTCCATATCCACAAAACCTATGAGAAAGGTCTTGTTTGGTTTACCAGATCTAGGATTACACAAGGCTCATAATGAGCAGTTAACTTTGCTCTTCTCGCCTTCCAGGTTGGAGTGTACTTGACCCGCCTTGTACTTTGCTCGATGCGTTATAGGACATGACTCGCAGTCGACACTATGGTGGCGTGTCTTGTTCTCTCGTAGTCGGACTGATGTTTAAAGTGTGTTTGTTGCTGACTTAGCTGCAGGGTAATGGCTGATTATGACACGAGGCAGTGAAAGCCGCAAGAAAGCTGTCTCACCTATGTCGCTTTATCTTTGGACGACAACCAGTTGTTTGTGACGGTATATTGTTGACACAGGGTGAGGCGCTTTGTCCCTGAATGTTTGCTAGGGCATTAAGGTATTACGTCAGGTCACCCTTCTCTCCCTCTTATTGTTCTTTGTTCCGTACGACACCATGGTTGTATGGCAGCGAAGCATCAGTACTTCTGTTGCTGATGATAATGAAGAACCGATGGGAGAGTGAAAAAATCTGCGAGTTTTAGTTTTTTGCTAATGTCATCTACGATCAAGGTTTTGCCCACGGATTTTGCTTGCTTGCCGCAAAAACAATCGAGTTATTTTTTACGTGCTTTTCCGGCTTTTTCATCCTTGATGCAGTTCTCTATTTTCACCTCACCTACAACTTTCTGCCTTAGGCGAAAGATCCAGTTACAATGATAAGCAGTTAAAGGTTTTATGCACATTGTCTTTTTGTGCTTGTGAGCCTTGCTGCATTTGTGATTCCACTCGCATACATGCCTTTATTGCATTTTAACAGCCCAGCTATCGTATTTGTTGCCTTACTGAGATCCACTTACGTGACGTCTGCATGGCGCTACAACAGATTTCACCGTATATATATATATATATATATATATATATATATATATATATTAAGCCAGTGCGTTCGGCTATGTGATCTTTGACGACCACTCGGGTGAGTGTGCAACACGATGCAATTGAACAACCCCGATAACTCCGGTCTTCTATGTGGAAGTCCTCATTTGGACACAAAATGGTATGTGGGCCACCTACCTTTCAACGGTTTTCGGTTATTTCGCTAACTTTGGGAGTCTAAGGGATGTGTTTGATTTCCGTGCCGCCATGCAAAGGCCCGTCGAGTGCCATCATCACTTCGGTTTTACTTGAAATACTTTCTCAGGCATATATATATAAATGTGGTTGGAGGCATCCAGTTTCGGATTTGCCTGTCACTGTGGTCAGCCACTGGATGCCTGCGCTTACAGAGGGACCATGGGTGGCTTGCGCTGCACCACCCAGACCTCCAACCACAACCCATAGCCAGTGTAAACCCGAAGGAATAAGACCGGGAGGCATGCGGATGGGAACAACGTTTCATCAACGGAGCCAGCCCACACTCCTTCACAGGCAAACACATGCATGCTTTAATTGGGAATCAAGCGCACACAAGGCGGTGGCTGGACCGTAGTCCGCTACACACTGAGTGCATGGAACCACTCTTCGAGTCGAGCACGACCACAAGTACCGTGCACCCCGTCCTCTCCAGCAACGACCAACTTTTTTCTGGAGCCAGTATGGACGAGGTAGAGGGTAATAGACAGGTAGGCACCTTGTCAACATGCACATCAAGCTCAGCCACACCGGGGATATCAAGCAACAGCCAGTCACTTGAGAGAAAGCTAACAAAGAAAATAAATCGAGTAATGCGTAAGGAAACGGTGACATAACTCTTAAATTTATGAGCATATGAAATAAGTTGTTTACAAAAGAATCCGAGATGAGTTCACGAGGTCAGAAAGTATATTTTACGGAAATGCCCCAAACACGAAAATGTTATCGAAATTAACTACAATTGGCTTAGGCGACGTGTGCAGATTTATAGAAGAGAGTATAGGTAGACATTTATTTGAGAAAGAAAAGCATTGGGACAAAACTGAAAACCCACCACCTGAAATAAAGAGACTTGGCATGCAAGCACGCGGTTGGTAAATCGAATGCAGTGTACCTACAAACGCTGCGCCGGTTCTGCTTTCGTTCTCTGCAGAACCCGTCGTCGCTTCGGTAGTAATCCCGAGTGGTCTCGCTCATGGCTCACTAAGCCTGCCTGACTCAGGCACTCGCGACCGCATGTTCTACAGCACCATGCGCTTGATGTCGATGGAGAACAACCCATCGGTGCTTGCCGCTTCCGCACTTGCCGCTTCTTCTCTGCATGCATGAGGGCTTTCTCCTGCACCTCAGCAACTGCCTTCGTGATCAGATGGCGCCATGCACCACGATCAACCGCCTTCGATTCCCATGATCTGCAATCAAGATTAGAACGTGAGAGGCTCACTTTGATCATGTCCTGGTAACGTAACTTTGGTTTCCCAGCATGCCGCTTCCCAATACTCAGCTGCCATATAAGAGTTGTTTCAGTATCCGCGTCGAATGCTCACATGACCGAGCCACCTCAGGTATCTCAGCAAAAGTATGCAGTCCATTGCATACATCCCACTTTGTCGCAATACTTCCGTGTCAGCAAATCTGGCGCCCCAACCGATGCGCAAAATAAGTCGCAAACACTCCTGATGGAACTGGTCGAGATATTGCACTTCTGGCCGGTACATCGTCCATGTTTCACCACGGTATAGAAGAACGGACAGCACCGTGCATTAGTACACCATCTTCGTGCCAATGGTAAGCTGATGATTGTTCCACACTCGGTACTCAAGCTTCCCGAATGCCGCCGCTACCTTCGACACGCGGATACGAAGCTCACTGTGTATCTGCTGATCAGTCGACATCACACTCCCAAGGTAGCAGAAGCGGGAGGGGGTTTCCAATACTTGCTACTTTGCGGCAATATTGCAGATTGCACCTCCGGTGGAGGCTGAAAGAGACAGACAGTTTTGTTTGTGTTGATGATGAGTCCGAATTTGGCCCATGTCAAAGCCAGAGCACGAGTCATGTGCTGCAACTCATCCGCGCTGTGTGCAAACAACGCACAGTCGTCAGCAAACAGCAACATACGGATAGTTGTCTCACAGACTAGAGTTCTCGCACCGAAACGAAGGATGTTCAACAACCCACCATCAATACGACACTCTACACGAGCACCGTAAGCACAAGCGGCATCAAAAGCACAGGACATCATGGCATGAAGATATATATTAAACATGGCAGGAGCTAAAACACAGCCTTGCTTCACACCAGAGAGAACTGCAAAGTCATCCGAGGTCTCTCCACTCAGCTGCACCCTCGCTCACATACCACTGTGCAGACATTCAATTACACTTACAAAGTAATTCGGGCAACCAAACGTATCCAGCACCAGCCACAATGCCTCACGGTTCACCGTATCAAATGCCTTGATGAAATCAACAGAAAACGAGTACAACGGCTGGTGTCGTTCTCGGCACTTCTTCTGCAACTGACGAGCCGCAAACACCATATTTATAGTGCTGCGACCCGAGCGGAATCCACATTGCTTTTCCGCCACGTTAGGTTTCACAATCTGACTGACGAGGCATTTGAGCAGGAATCGGTCGATCACCTTGCCCACACAACTCAGCAAGTTGATGCCACGATAATTCGTACAACCTTGCTTGGTCCGTTTGCCCTTGTGCAGTGGTAGCACAAAGGCATCCTTCAGCTCAGGAGGCACCTCCTCCTCAATCCATACGCGTTGCACCAAATGGTGCAGCGCAGTCAACAACGCGGGTCCACCGTGTTACAGTACTTCAGGCGGGATCCCGTCGGTTCCAGCACATTTGCCGTTTCGCAGCCGAGCAAATGCTCTCTGTGTCTCATCCAGTGTCGGCGTGTCCGCCAGACTCGTCTTCACATCGTGCTGTTTGAGGCCGTTCAAAGTAGGCCAGTCGATCTCTGAACGGTTGTTCAAGAGACAGTCAAGTGTTTCCGCCAGATCTGCATTATGTCTGCAGTCTGTTTGCAGGTAGCGCCTGAACTACCATCGATTAGCGTCCTCAGTGGCTCCAATCTCGGTCCATACACCGCCTTCAAGGAGTCAAAGAATTCCTTGTGTTGGCGGCGTTCGGCATAGCATTCTATCTGCTTCGCCTTCTCCGCCCATCATGCATTTTTTCTGCTATGGAGCTCTCGGGTCAGTCGCCGTCGAAGTTTGCGAAAGTGATTATTCTTCCCCAACTCACTGGGGTCTGCCACAGGTGCAGCAAATGCTACAATCTTTTCCGACACCAATGCGCCAATCGTCGCATTGTTCTCATCAAACAAATGAGTCCGCTTACAGTTTGCGCGCCCGATGATCTCCTCTGCAGCAGCTGTCACCTGGTCGCGAAAGTAGTGCCACAAGTCGCCCACTGTGGCTATGCCTTCCACATCACACAGGCGTGCAACCATCGCCTTTGTTGGTGGTAAGGAGGAGGTCATTGAGCCCCCTATATATTTGACGTAGGTCTGGCGTAGTGGTACAGCGTTTTGGCGGCATTTTGGCTACGTTGTCCGAAGCGGCGACTGCCTGTCTCTTGATGTGGTTCCTTGTGCTCTTGGAAATGATAGAAGCCCTGTCAGACTGCAACTTGGTAGGAAACCCGTTGATTAGTACGGTATTGTAACGTTGCGGAGTCTGAACTTACTCTGGAAAGCGGCAACGACTGACAAGGAGTCTGCAACGATATTTTTGACCTTGGGGCGGAACGGTTTTGTGTTCATTGATCGAAACTTCTTGCAGACTGCTTCTCATATGGCCTCATTTATGGCACTTTTGTCAAATATACTTCTTTAGTGGACAGAATGGGGCAAAATGTCACTCACCGAATGGCCAACAGGCAATAGGCGGTCTGCATTGTGACTTCTGAGCTGAACTATCGGGTTTATTTCGCTTGGAGTTTGTCATAGCATGGACATTTCGCGGTTGCGCGCAAGAATTCTCGACCATGGCCTTGTCATGTTTCGGAGTCATCATTCGTTTGCACTCGGCCCTGAAACATTTCAGCGTCGTTTCTGGGACTTAATCCAGCTTGGAGAGTAGTCTTTTGCGGATCTCAGCATCCTGCGGTGACTGTAAGGTACCGATAAATGGGAGACACTTGAATTGGTCATCTGTCAAAAATTGCGGCTTGAAGTGTTCGCACTCACGGTTCACCACTTATGCCAGCACCCCATAGTCGTCTGTGTCCCGATTAACAATTTTCCAACCTTGATAGCGAATGCTGAATGATGATGACAACTCACCGAAAATTTCGCTGAATTATGACACCGCTTCGGCGAAGCTGAGACCTTTCGGCTGTTTTGAAACGACGGATGTTCATTTGCGCTAAGTTTACGAAGCAGCGCTCGCACTTTCCAGAAGTCGTCCTGACGGATGAAATCCGTTCGGAACATATCCTCCCAGCGTCTGAACCACGCATCGAAAGTGGTTCCAGAACTAGGATTATAATTGAATACAGTAATGGATTCGAGAGCAGATCAACTGAACTTGCCTGCGTATCTTGCAAAGCTGTTTCTGAAGACTGCCGACTTATCCACTGCGTCAAAGTTTTCACCAGCTTCATTTGCACCTCTATTTGTGCCTGATGTTGCCGTAGCAGCATTTGAAATTGTTCTACGGAGAAATTAATGGCATTGCCACTTTTTTCTGCCGCCATTAGTTATGATCTACCTCTGTCTGCGCGATTCCGGTTGAACTGAAGGCTTTCTCTGCTAGCTCCAAATCCCAGCCGGAAACTCAAAGTCAACGCTTGAGGACAAAAGCCTGTTGCAGAACAAGGTACCGAACGGATACAAGCAGTGTGAAATGAACAGACCCTTTATAAGTCAACCAAGGATGATTCACGTATCAGAACAGCTGTCCTGATTGAGGATGTAGGTACCTGCATCATGTAGACCTGAATGTTCCTGATACGAACAATCCTAAAACGTCTTGATGTTTCTTTTGTACATCATTGGTTCGAATCATTTTCCCACTAAATAGATGAGTTTTCCTGGGAAATTTTACTCTCCCTGACAGCCGCATTCATGTGATTCTTTCTTTGAATCAGTTAAACAAACCCGCTCCAACGAACCAATTAGCACGTAGACGAAATATGCGTAGCTATCTAAGCAACTGCTCGGTTCGCTTGCAGCAAGCTAGCCGCTTGCTTCGCCATGTAAATCTTATCGTCCTTCTGCTTACACAATCCCATCACATCCTTCCCGCATCGGTGTCACAGAAGACTCCTTACGCTCTTCCGCTCCGCGTGGTCTTTGCTGCTCCTGTCGTTGTGACCTTTGCAAGGCGCTACGTGTTTTGCTGCATGTCGTCTCAACTGCGCACGGTTCCTTCTAATTATTTTTCCTTCAGTATTGACTTCATAGGACCTTTCTCCGACTTTCGCGGTCACCACCTTTCTTCCATCGGTATTGGTTTGGATCCACACTTCTTCATTTATTGCTACCTCGGGTAGCGTCCGGGTCTCGCGGTCGTAATATCGTTTCCGAACTGCCATCCGTTTTCATAAGCCCCATTGCAGTTGCTCATGCGATGGGGAAACAGGATGTAGCAGTTCAGCAGACGCAGACGTTAGGATTCCTGTCCTTCTTCTGTACACACCCTGCACTGGACTGAGACCGGTAATGGTGTATTGCGAATCCTTAACAAGATTAGATACGGATCCTCATGAGTGACTCTAGCATTTAACAACATCCTCTTGGCTTGTTCGACTGCCGCCTCTGCTTTTCCGTTAGACTGACTGTGATACGGGCTGGTTTGTCGATTCGAAAATTCCCACTTGTTCGCGAAGGTCTGGAGCACAGCACTTGCAAATTGCGGATCATTGTCGGAGATCAGTTCAGTTTGTCTGGCGAACTGACATCTATGCTTGTTGATGACTGTTTTCGTGGTGGTAGCGCTGAGTGAATCGATCCCAAAATAGTCACTGTAATAGTCCACAGTGCTTAAGTAGTCTTTCCCGTTGTCTGAGAACAAGTCAGCTGCTACTTTCTGCCATGGTCGATCTGGAATCTCACGCAGCACCATTGGTTCTCTGGCTTGCATTAACCGCTACTGAATAATTTCGCTCGAAACCTTCGAACCAAACGGTAAACGTAGCCATCAAAAACGCGAGGTTGATGCGGCAAACGTCATTAAGTAACATGATTCTGCGTCTTGGACCACGTGCCAGAACACCGACGAGAGATCAAACTTGGTGAAGTACTTTACCTTAGCCAAAGGCGGCAGGACTTTAACGTTGGCAGTGTATGGTGTTCTCTACGTAAAGCTTCATTCAACAGCAAATGATCTATGCACAGATGCAAACCATCGCTTTTTTCGTGACAATTGCGACTTGGCTAACCCAGTCTGTCGGCTCGTCGACCCTAGCGATTAGGCCCAACTGCGTCAAGTTACTTAACTCGGTGGCGAATTTGTCACGTAATGCAAACGGAACCCTTCTGGCCGACAGCACACTCGGTCATATTGGTGGACCTAGTGACAAATGAACGGGGCCTACCAACCTCTCCAAACCTGGTTAAACAGGGACTGATACTGTACACTAACATCTGTTTCCGCTTCACATTCATGCACAAAACAATCATGCTTGAAATGAATGAAGCCAAGACACTGGGTGGAATCAATGCGGAGAATCGGCGTGAGCTCTTCCTCTACGAACACGAATTCCAACTGATGTAAGAAGTCGCCTTTGGGATTGATCACTTTGATTGCGGCCATACCTTTCGGCTAGAGCTTGGAACCGCTCCAAATGCGTAGGACTCCCTGAGCAGGCTACACTTGAATTCCAGGGCACTGCTTCACAGGTATTATGTTTATGGTAGCACCCGTGGCCAACTGGAAACGCACTATTTCGTCACCGACCAATAAACTTGCGTAGATACACTTCGGTCGCATCTGCGACACCTTGCTGATTGAATATTCAGAGTCGGATGGCGTTGTGTCACGATTGAGTGCATTCACGTTCGAAGACTGACAACATCGAGCAGAAGGATTCCGCCTGCAGAATCTGGCGCAAATTCGGCTCTACGCCGGACATTGATCGCAATGCTTCAGGTGTCGCGCGGCGCAGAATTTGTAAGTTTCGTGTGTCTTCATAACTGTCTTCGCAGTTTTGTCAGGGAAACTGAATACGGCATGTAGCTCTGTTTCAGTCAGCAACCGCATCTGCTGGATGTGGTGTGCAGCTGATGATTCACAGTGGCATATATCAAAACCTTGTCTGAGCGATAAATGTCCGCCACAAAAGCTGCGTGGGATTGTTTTCCTCATTGATCCCAAGCACCGTACTATCCCGGATGACTCTGTCAGCCACACAATGGCAAAAATTACAGGAACGAGCCAGGATCTTCAGCTCCGTAACATAATTCTCGATAGTTTTCTTTGGGCGCCGGTTTCAAGTAAAAACCAGATAGCGCTGATACGTCTCGTTAATCTAACCTTCGCAGAAATCGCCAAATTTTCGAATGACAGTTTTCGGCTAAGCTAGATCTTCGTCCTTTACGTACTGCATCGTTTCCAAGACGCGGTGTGCTTCATCTCCAATCGTTTGTCTAAACATCGCCAATCGATACGCCATCGGTTGTTCATTCAGATGCACCAGTACATTTAAATCGATCCACTTGATTTTCCAGATTCTCCAATTATTTCCAAATTCTCCTCTTCCATGTTTAGTGGGGCAGGTGGTTGCACAGCTAGTCTCGCTCCAATCAGCAACTGAGCACCATTGGGTGATCTTGGTTTGGTTTTCACTGAGACCATGTCGCAGAACTCGATCCTTCAGGGTCAACCAATCTATTCGGCAAAGCGAGCTCAGCAAAAATTAACAGCATAACAAACATGTGGGAACGAGCATGTAGGAACTAAGTCATTTCCATAACTAACGACGCTGTTGTATTCATGAGATTTTTTCAATTAAACAAACCCTCCAGAGAACCAATCAGCGCCTAGACGAGATATGCGTCGCTGTCCAATCAACTGCACTGTTCGCTTGCTTCGCCATGTAAATCCTATCGTTCTGCTTGCACAATCCCATCACAATGATAGCCTACAAGTACCTCTATTCTATTAGTCATACGTCAAGTATAGCAATGTTATGCTCGAAGATGACACCAACTACACTCTGACTTCTTTTTGTGAGATTGCCGTCTCCTTTTCCCGCTTCATATCCAGCCACTCCGGGTCGTTTTGTCGATCACATGAGGAACTCTCCAAATTTCGCTCACCAACAACTTTCCCAAATCCGTCAACTTGTACTTGATGAGGCGGATCAAATGCTGAACATGGCCTTCGCCGATGATATTGATTTGGTGTTGGATTTATTTCAACAACCACACAAACGAAAAAGGCGTCGAAAAAAGGATGTACGACTTTTGGAGCAAGTCGCAAAGGCTAATTCGGGTAGGGGAAGCTTCTAACTTCACTACCATTTGCCTCGATCTTATGAGTTACAGAATTTCTATCTATTACCCCGTTTTATGATTATCCTTTACTGATTGTAACCGTGCCCTCAACCAATTTTTACCGTTGCTTATTGTCCTCATTCGCTGGTTCAAGTCTCTTCTCAAGTTGCAGGATTAATCCTCCAGATTGTCGCATCTTTCTCCATACTGATCTTTTTCCATTCTTTTGCTATTCACTCCGGCTGTATTGGCACCTTTATGTCCTAGTTTTGGTTTTCGGGCCCTCTACATGCTCATTCTCAGTGTAAGGCCCTATGGTGCCCAGCTTGCACTTCTTGCTTATGAGTCTTCCACCTGGGCAAACCGTTCCACACCACAAGAAACCGAGCTTGCTACGTCAAGTCTTGTTCCTCAGCTCTATTCCACGCACAATTCCCTCATTTCCGTTGTAGTCCCATTGCCGATTCCTTTGGTGTCATGTGCACCTGTTGCTCCCGTAGCTGATTTCGCATCTGCTTTCCATAAGTGCCACAAGGTTATCTACTCACGTGTCGCGCAGTTCCCAGTTGGAACTACGCGTCGTGATCACCAGTTACATTCGATAAACGCTTCGCTTTATTAGCCACTTGTCTACTACTGGACTCGGTCGATCACTGCTTTCTCATTTCCTGATGTGGGACATTTGTGGACATGCTCTTTTCCTCTGTTATTTTGGGTCTGTACTCGGCTGCGAATTATTCTTGGTTTTACGAAAGGACTGCTCTCCTCTTGGTCGCATCACTGTCCAATGCGACCACTTTTTATCGGTCCCTTGAGTGGTCGACTTAGACTGGTTTGACTGTACAGTTGAACTGCATCAGTCAAACGAACTATTTGTGGATTTCAAAGTGTATCTCAATGCTCGTATGCGGCGTACTCCTCGTGTTATGCAGATGCGAATTTTGTCTTACCTTTACGTCAATTCAACCGATGGTGGTCCTTATTCTAACGCCATGGTTAGATCTTCGTTGATATACCTATGGTTACCAACTATTAGTTGATGAGTGGAGCTGCTTATTGTTCGTTTATTAATGATACCTTTAATGTCGTATGGCTTTCGACAGTGATCCTAATTTGGAATGGAATTTGACTTGCAGTGTATCTCGGTGTGAAGTTGCTAAATTTCAGCACTGATTCCGAGACGTACCTATTACTAGTACACATTTTCTACTACACAATCAAACTGCACTAATTGCGATTCTCATGACAGGTAGGTCTTCGTTGTTTGAAATTTCGGTTCTTTGGCTACACTGCGGTGTGCGATGTCACTTTTTACCTCACTCGGTTTCAAACTGAATTCCGACCAGTTTAGCCATTAGGACCGCGTCTGTGTAATCACCAATCCGGTTGTGAAGTTCTCTGAAGTGAGCCATCAGCGCCTCGTTCACTTGTGTTATACGTTTTCACGCCCTTCTCCATGACTTCACCTTACAGCCTCGGACGGCCTTAAAAGTCATTCTATCACTAACAAGAAGTTCCCACACCCACAAACTCACCTTTACTCCGCTACCATGACCAAGGATGTGGCCAAATTACGTCGAGCAGCACTGTCATCAGATGCAGTGTTTGTGTGTGTCAACTCACAACCACCAATCGGATCACAACCAAGTGTCGTGTCAGCAGCTCGAATTGGCGCTCAAGGTCAGAGAGAGCACCAGATCCAAAAGACCACTTTCCCTCCTGGGTTGGTGCAATACTGTCTGCCTGTTCGATTGGCGGACAAGCCCGCCATATTGGATTGGCTTTTACAAGAGGCCACTTACGTGAATGTTAAGTTGTGCGACGGTGAGTCTAAGGTAAACAACATTTCCATTTGCAATGTCATTCTTCATGTTTCTTTTCAACCATTCTTTCGACCGTGTTCTCCGTATTGCTTCTGTCCAGTTAAAAAATCACAATGCTCTCACATCCTCTGTGCTGTTAATGCCTGCATCGGTTGCTACTGTGCATCCACTCCATTGGCCTATGTTTTGCAAAGTGCTAAAGAACAGAGTCCCCGAAAATATGCCACCATACCTGGAGCTTTGAACCTCCATTTCCTCGTTAGAGTCTTGGCCTACATGATGCTCTCCTCAGTCTTCCTTTTCGGCAGTTGTACACGGTAGGGATGTCGTATGTCCCTGTTCCTCTCCAACTTTGCAGTTGGACTCGTTTTTTGGTGACCCTGTAAGACATATTAACTTTGTTGTAGAGCATGTTCGAGCGGAACCAGTTTGTGCTACCTCCTTTCACTGTGATCCTGGACCGTTCAGCGATTAAGGCACCCAATTACGATGCTATCCTAATAGTGTGTACTTCACCCTTCCGAAGGGCATCGTGCGTCTTCATCCATCCTTGAAAGCGCACAGCTTGAACGGGTTAGCAACTTCACATACGTGTGAGCAGCGTTCAGACCGCTAGTGCTATCGAAATGGTCTGCCTTCGTTTCATTGTCGCTCTTCCGTTGAACCCATTTGTCTCACTATGCGTTTAAGTCGCGCGCAGTTCATACAGGGTCCCACCGTAAAAGGCTATGCACTGCATGCTTACATTTCGCTACTCCATATATCCTTCCGGTTAGGGCACAATGCTAACTTTATTGACTTTTATTTACACATTCGCTTCTATGAACGCGCTGAATAACAGCAAAACGGGATTTATGGGATAAACAACCTTCAGTGCCATCGTCTTCTTTTATTACTGTATGTTTTGACGCCTAGAACGTATTTCCTCTTCCTACATTACCAACAACGTGCCGCTTTCATCTCCTCCCCGTTGATTGTCGTTCGCTGATTGCCATTTTATTGCTCTCTTATGTCGGGGCGTCACGTTCAACCTCTATATCACTCACTAGCTCTCGCCTAACACCATAGTTATCCAACTATTTTCAGTTATCAATCTCCGGTAGTCTTCGGTTTTCGGATCTAAGAAACACTGCCAATTGTCCATTTCCACATCAACCACGTTTCACATTTCATCCGTACGGTTTTCTGTACTTACATTTTATCGTCTGACTGAACTCACACTTCTTCGCTCACTTACTCGTTTCAGCCAGCCATTTGAAGTATCCGTCGCGTGCGCTCGTCTTCTGCAAACGGCGTCAGGAAACGCGGCTGATTTCCCGCTTTCTCCATGAGTGCGGACACTCAGTTGGTAGCCTATCGGGTAGAATGAAAGAAGCAGAGCGTAAGCAATCTCTTCTGAATTTCGTCTCAGGCCACTGTAGAATCCTGGTGGCCACGGATGTGGCTAGCCGGTGAGTCCCCAATTCCAGCTACAATCACGTACCGTTATGAAGTACTCAGTTTCATGAGTTAAAAATTTTAAGGTAGACACCGCTGCTCTGTCTAAATTTTCGCCCACCTTTCCATTTTGGTATCCAGATTGAGTTTGCTTTAATCCCAATCTGCATTCCGCCTACGTACATGGCTAATTCTATCCAGCCTCTATTTTGCAATTACCTTACGCTTCTTGTGACTCATATTTATGCGTTATAATTCAACATAACCTTACGTTTCAGTGGTTTGGATATTCCTTATGTGGATCTCGTTGTAAACTATTCAGTTCCACCAAGCGAGAAGTTGTACCGCCATCGCGTGGGCCGAACTGCTCGGGCCGGACGCTCTGGCGTCGCCGTCACTTTGATTACTCGTGACTCAGCACCTACCTTCTTGGAACTTGAGGCGCAGTTGGCTTCCTACCATTGTGACTCAGTTCGCGCTTCTTCCGATTGCTTCATCCCTCGTTGGCCTATTCCGCTTCCCGGCCCAACTGGAAGACATGGAATGTTACTGCGACGACGACTAGCCGGCGAGGCATGGGCTCGTGCTGGAAAGGTTTGTCTTTGTCTTATTGCCGCCTCTTTCTCCATTCATTTTAGTGCTTATTCCCCCCGAGTTAATTGAGTGTGTTCTTTCTGGTTAGAAAGTGCCTGTATTACTGAGCTGCGAACAGTCCGGTTTGGCGGCTCAATGATGATTTGATTTTGCTGTCTCAGGGCCCAGTTTGCACATGAACCGCGACACCTTTTATCCGTTATTGCCGGTTCCAGAGGAAAGCGTGTCGCATAGGGCCCCTCTGTCATAGCATTTCCAGGCCACCTCGTCAAACTACGGTTTCCTACTAACTCGATTCTAAATGGACTTCAGAGACTAGTCGTGCACTTTGGCCTCCCATGCAGATTTCTTTTTCCGTTTTTGGATGTGGTGCACCCACTGCGTTGTTCGATTGCTCACCGCACTCTAAGTTTAAGGTACGAATTACTTCCTTATCAACCTTCAACTTTTTTGATTACTGGGTCTGCATCCACAATCCGGCAATTTTGCTTTTACTCGCCCTTAACATGACGCCGCACTATCGATTTCCCACCAGTTTTTTGCTTCACAGTGGTCCCGCTAGCGGAACCAATTTTGTATTCTAACGTCAAGATATCTGACTTCAGCAGTCAACCGATGAGAATTCATAAAAATACTTGCAAAGTACGGTCGGTATATGATCGTTGTAAAAGTTGATGTTTTGGACACATGTTTGCCTGTGTTAGGCCTCCCGGATCCAGACCACATTACATCTGCGTGACGTTGATTCCGTAGCAAGCGTCTGTATTCCGGATACAGTCAACGTCTCAGCCTCCTAGCTACGAACTTCGACAACGTCTCCATTTTTCGAAGCCCGCATCACCATGAGCGGCTACGAAGAGTCCTTGCGGCGTTACTGTTTACTTATTAGCAGACTTAGCTTGACATATTGTCCCTCGCCGTTTCGGCACGTGTTTTTCTTGTTCACTCGCAAAGGTGGTTCATCTGTAATCGATGGTATCCTCTATCGTTCATGGCTGCACGTAGCAGCAATAGAGGATATAACTCTGACCGTAAACTTTCTAGGTGATAATTCTGCTCGACACGCACGCCACTTCTGTCACTCTCGTTGCAAATTGCTTTCATTTCCACATCTAATAGGGAACTCCGAACGATTGTTTGCATCCTGATCATCGCAGTGGTCGGTAAATTAGAACTTTTTTTCTCTTTGTTCGACTTTTTTGTGTTCCCGAATTTGGCGCGCGGAATGAATAACTTCCGCAGCGAAAACGATTGGTCTGGTGGAAGCAGGAAACGAGAACGGGAATGGCATACCATGGATCACACCAGCTATCTAAAATGAGATGAATATGGTATCACAAGAAAGAACACAGAAATAGCTAGTGTTGAGAACTGCACTACTCAACATCCAGGAAGACAATTCCGCTCGTCTGCACGATACTGAGACCCGGCGCGATTGTCCTCCTGGCGCCCCACAATTGTGCCTGAAATTCCATGTATACATCCCATTAGTTCAAGCTTTGTCGAGTATCATTTGTACACGTACTTCTAACTTCCTATCTCTCTACTTCTTTTCACTGTTCAACCCGCGAATGGTTTACTACCACTTTTGCATTCGCCGTCGACTACGCTGAGTGATTTGACGTGTTATCTCCATCTTTCCACCCTTGTGATCTTTCGCTGCTTTTTCACTAGGCCATTCGGATGCAGGATGATGAGCGTAGGAGGCTAGCGAAAGAAACCATGGATGATGAGGATTTTATGCTATCCTCTGATTCCGACCCTTCTGGTGCACTCGTGGACAGTGGCGCTTCAGACGAAGATGATCTGACAGATGTTGTTGAAGATGTATCGAGTACCATGGTTTCAGAAGGTATTCCTACTCAGAATTCAATCGAGCCTTTAAACACCTCTGGCACACATGGCTTAGCAGCGGCCAGGCTGTCATGGAAATTGCAGAATCGCGAAAAGCGGAACAAGCGAAAGCAGCGTTTGGAACACATGGAGAAATTAAAAACCCCTTCTATTGGCTGGGGTATCGTTTCCGGCGGCCAAGAGTTGGCCGATGATATCGAGGATGTGGATCATTTACGGATTGACGAGCAATTGAAAAACAAATACCACGGTATCTCGACGAAAAAGAGCAGAATAAAAAATCATTAACGCCCTACGATGTTTTTTTCTAACTACTTTTCTCGTGGGGCTTGTCTATCCTCAAGCTACTAACTTGTTAATCTGATGTTTCTGCTATCGATGTTGCGGTATCGGCGACGATAGCCTGTGCTCTACGTCCTCGTTTGCATTTTTCAGCAAAAAATCGACTGTTTGCAATATCTGCCATGGGATGACATTACGTACCAGCTCGGATCTAAATCGGGACATTTTAACTAGAGCGGTACAACCGAAAACGGAAGCTGACAGCAAACAGTTCGTTGGATGCATTAACTAATGCAACGACAGGTTAATTTGTGGTTAAGAGAGCAAATTCTTAACAAGTTCCCATAGGTGAAAAAGTGAAACGAATAAAAGATATTGAAAGTACTAACGCGTGTCGGTGGCCTCACCGTAATCCTCGCACACAGTATCTGTGCACACAGTTTGGTTGCGTGGCCCAATAAGTTGTGTTGAACCGTGTAATATGCGCAGAGTAATGAATCATCAAGTCGCTTTTCGGACTCGGATTATGCAGGAGCAAAAGAAACGAAAGTTGTCAGAGCGTCCTACGGCTGACACACACGAAGGGAGATGAAGTTCAGATAGCATTCCCACTGAATCTGTTATGCGACCGACTTTAAATGACGATCTTTTAAGTAGGTGTTGTTGCTTAGCTTAATTGATTAATTTCATTGTCCGCTGGAAATCGGTAGGATCCTCAGTATAAGCTGGTAAAGGAACTGGAGCAGGACCTTAACATTTTTACTCGCCCTTTATTGTCTAGTTCCCTGCTCTTGTCTGAGCTGCCAGACCTGTATAAGGTATTCCACGTGGAATTGGAGCATGTTCTGAGCTGATCACTCGGAAGCTTTGCCTATGTCGCTTTGCAGTGTTGCTTGACTTTCGATGACCTAATAATGTCAACAAGTGGTAGATACTCTGAAATGATAACTGTCGCCACATTGTTTAGGAAAACCAGTCTTTTATCGTGTCTGACAAGGCGCTACGAAATCTCACATTCGGGTGACGCTGGATGAGGAGAGCACGGATCCATCCCAGAACAGTATCGTCCATCTCATCGTTCCGATGCGTTAAACCAGACGTCCAAGTGAAATCAAAGCGGCGGTGTCAACTCTTTCCCTAGCGTCAACAGATGCGGTTCAGTTAGCACTGGTTATCGGAAATCTCATAGTGCGCTAGCGGTTTTGGCTAAAATCGGTGCTGTTTCAGCACAGTAGTGTTATATCTTTTCGGACACTCCAACGATGTTTCCGGAATGATTGTCTCCATCATTTCCAAAAAAAATTTGTTGGTGAGTCATCTGGCGCTAGTTTGCGAATTTAGCGCAGTTGCCCCCTCCTTTTAGCTGGGGGGGGGCGTAACTATTCCGTATTTGCTCCCTAATGAAAACTTGTATCTCGTCGAGACGGCGTTGCAAAAACGGATAGCAGTGTAGACAAGTTCCTGGTAGCCAGTTTCAATGACTTTGGATTTATGTTGTCTGCACCAAAAGAAATGTGGTCGTGCAGTGACCAGTTTCCTGATCACATCCGATGCAGTGTTAGTGAAGTGCCTAAGCCTTCGTCATTGTTAGGCTTGGCGCATAGCTCGGTGGACGCAATAAGACACAGTTGCAGTGTGTTGCCGTTAAATGAAAGCTTCCTACTTTCCAGTGGCCAGTACGGCCGAAGCTAAGAGCCAATAAAATAAGAAAGACAAAGTTAACTGTCTGTGAGCACCTGTGTTCACGATCGATTGTCCCGTTCACTGGCTGCAGTGGTGTCTTGGTTTTCGTGAGAATGGTGTCAGGCGGATTATTGCCGAGGGGTATTGGACGCTTCTTGTGCGATTTGTACTGGCACACATACAGTGTTTGGAGCTGTGGTGTTCAGCTGTAATTCGCGGAGTTTGTTGACATGTCTGTAAAGCACCTTGGGGTTAGAGCAGAATGTATTCATTTGATTCTGTTAGTATTACTTTTTTTCTTCTCAGAAGATTCTAACACGATGTTTTCACTCAATAAGCTTTTCAGTTTTAGACACTTGAAGTGCCTTTGTATACTTGTCAAAACGAGTTCCTCAAAGCCGTACATATTCGCGTCCTACTTTTCATTATTTTTTTGAACTGGAGAGCTTAGCTTCTGATGTCTTGCTAGGGTGCTGAAATGCTTGACGACTTCACTACCAGCGACATCAAGGGGTTCTCCAGTTATGAACGACTAATCAGTGGTTTTGATGATGTTTGTCAACTATAAGGGCTCTTCGATGTCCACTCTAAAGTGCTCAGCGTAACAGACTTAGCGGAACAGTGTTGTATGGTCGGTGTAGCCAAGGGGCTGCTAACTGTTGCCGTATCGGGCAAAAAGTTTTCTTTAGTAAACAGTAGGTCAACATAGTACAGTTTGTTTCCCCATCTGGGTCTCGTAAGTGACGTGTTGGGCTCTTTCAGATCGTTCTTGCGTCGTACGGATTCGAGGAACTGGAGATATCTGTCCACTTCTTGTGAACTGATGGTGATTACTTCAGTCGCTTTTTGCACACTGAAGGCGGTGTTTAATAAACTCCGGGGGTTACCAAACAACAAAATTACCACATTTTTCGGACTATAAGGAGCACTTGAAATCTTTAGGTTTGCTTAAAAATAATTGGCAGTGCGCCTTATATCCTGATGCGCCTTATGTAGGAGTCAATTGCAACGCCAGTCGCATTCTAGCGATCAAGTGAATAAAACTAACTCGGAACTTGCCATCATTTCGGAAGGATTAGCCAAAGAACTCCAACCGCTAGATATTACTGTCAACTGGGCGTTCAAAGTTACATTGCGAGCTGCGTGCGAGCATTGGATGACACAAGGGGATCTCACATTCACCAAGACGGAGGCAACGCCGGGCTAGTTGCGCCACTATCTGTCAATGGCTCGTCGATGCCTGTTCCATGCTATCGGTCTTCGAGCTTTCATGAAGGCCGGAATCATCAATGACAGCCAAGCAACAACGAGACTAACACAGATGATGACGAGAGGGATCCGGGATTGCTTGATGCTGCTATCGGCCAACTGTTAAACTCCGACACTGAAGATGATGTATTTGACGGATTTGTAGAAGAGGAATGGTTGCAAAAGTGAGTGTATTTTTCTTTATGTGTGTTACAAGCGAACAATATTGACAGTTATTGTTAATGAGTCTGACCTGTCAGACTATGGAAATTATAGAGAATACTTGTAGCTCGGGGTGTGGATGAGAAGATTGTCCTGTTCTCCGAGCTGGGCATTTCGGTTGCAGACGTTTCGTTGCCAAACTAGGCAACATCTTCAATGCGGCTATTCAGTCCTGATTCGCGGTCTTGCAAACCAATGTCAGATCCGAGTGACATTGGTTTGCGAGACCGCGAATCAGGACTGAATAGCCGCACTGAAGATGTTGCCTAGTTTGGCAATGAAACGTCTGCAACCGAAATGCCCGGCTCGGAGAACAGGACAATCTTCTATCAGATAATTTTGTTTTGCTTTATGCGCCTTATAATCTGGTGCGTCTTATATATGTAATTAAATCTGTTCACTGACACTGCGTCTTATAATCCGGTGAGCCTTATCGTCCGAAAAATACGGCACTTACAAGCGTTCTGTCATCTTACAGTGCCATTCGATTAGGCCGTGGGAAATGTAGGTGCTCAAAAGGTTCAACATTTTGTGGTCGGAAATTGAGTCCGAGGTCGTGTGTTGCTGAGGAAAGGAAACTCAGCATCGATCCGCATCAACTGAATATCCAGCTTTATGCTACTAACTGCAGAGGGTTTCACATTGGACAGATCAGCCCAACAGCAAAACCGAATGTTTTCCATTCTAGCAAACTTGCATTGTTACCGCACACAATTTTTATTACATCGGTAACCGTAAAGTTTCCAACAATGGGTTAACTATTCTAGTCACATGAATAGCAATCATCGGAGATGACGCATAAGAAGAGTACCAAATGATAAGTGACAAGGACTAGTAAAATGGATCGATCCAACGCATAATTCGCGTGGGGCTACAAGTGATAGGATGTAGGTAGGTAGAGTAGGGAACAGCATAACGTACAACTCATTGAGCAGAAGCAGGTGATGTAGACAGCGTCCAACAGCGCATGTTGAAGAGTGAGGACTTAAAAGACAAGCAGAGTCTCGTTCTATGAGCCTCCGTTAGAAGACCGTGTATGAGGACTCTTTGGCCGCATTAGGTGTGCTGAGGGGAAGTGGGACCAAGTAAGCAGGGCTAACATGGCCACTGTACACTAGAAACCACAACAAGCCTCGTCCGGAGTTTACTGGGTCCAGTTTCGCTGATTATCTGTTGTTTATCATCATTTAGTGTGTATCAGATCACATTCTCGGTGGATGGTCGGTATGAGCTTGTTGGACTATGAAAATTACCCAGTAGAAGAAGACTAACAGGACGTTTTCCCGCTGCTCCAAAAATGGCGCACCTGGGTTTTACCCGCCACCACACCCCGGTCCGATACAACTACGACCTTCGTCCCACGAACTATTCCAGACGTTCCATTGGTACCAGCTATCGACGTATTTTAGGGTACCGTGTCTGTTACTGCTGTCAACTATGGAAGAGTGAGCGGTTGTCGCTGGGGACCAAGATGATGAGGCTTGTGGCTGTTGATGTTTGGTACCGAGACCGCCCTTGCTCTTTGAGTGGTCGGAATTTTGAATGTAGGACCCAGAGAGGATGTGAGTAGGCCGAAGTGCCTGACGCGATATAGATCAAGAACATGGCATGCGCTTTCTTGTGGTTACACGAGGCTTTATGATTTCTGACGGTTTTGCATAGCGTTTGAAGTTGAATCAGACACATAACTTTGAAAGTGAAAACATGCGTTTCGATAGAGAACTAATCTTTCCTAATTTCTAATAACTGACAGCATTGCGGTAATGTGAGCGAAGGATAAACATGCCGGGGTGTTTTGTTGTGTTTGGCACCCAGCTAGGGTGCTTGTGAGGATTGAGCGGTAGGAGTTGGATACAGATT